GCAGGAGCCTCTTGTTGCAGTGCAGAGGTGGTTCGGGCCAGAGCAAGCAGAGTGAAGAGTGATTGCTGCCCCGGCACGGCTGGTGGGCAGCATGGAGATGGGGCAGCAGGGACCGGAGGGGTCCCAGGGCTGCATCGCAGCTGGGTGGGGGCCGGTCAGCCCTGCTTGTGGTCCAGGGCTCCCCCCAGCTCCATTCCTGCAGTGGGCACATTGCTTTTTATTCTATAATAATTATTATTAGTTCCTGGTTCTTCGTGCAGACACACACGGTCTGGGCAGGGCAGTTGAACAGGAGACAGGGCTGATCCTAAGCTGGCCCAGGCAGGTTTGTGGCCACTCGTGATGGGAGCAGGATGGGGCCCAGTTGCCTCAGTGCCTTCCCCCACCCGCCTAAGGGGGAAATTTGGGGTTTGGTAGTTCCCAGTTTCTCTACAGGTTAAAGCACTAATTCCCACCCTCCCCGATGTGATCTTGTGCTTCCTCCAATTGGGATCTCATCGTGAGAGAGGAAACGCACCTCCTTTTTTTTTTTTTGGAGAGTCGCTTTGGGATGTTTAAATTTGGTGGTAACAGTTTTGGTTTCAGAGCCTGTCATCAGAAGCCGTCATTGCAAACAGGATGTTTGTTGGAGCCGTGCTGGGGAACAGCTGGGAGCTCCTTTTGCTTTCACTCCGGGTGTATTCCCGCAGCTATTTTTTTGCATTGCAAAAGAAATTATTAGCAATAATCCAGCAGTGACAAGTTTCTGTGTAAGAAAACCATTTTTTTTTAAAAAAAAAAGAAAAGTTGGGATTGAGCAAGATGTTTTATTCTGATTCCAATCCCAAAAATATGGTTCTGGATTTGCAAAATGAAATAAGTGGCGGCTCGCTGGAAAATCACCCTGTTTAATTCAGAATATCAAAATCAAGGCATTTCTGTGAAACATTTTGCATTATCCAACAGGACTTCCCTGTCTCACCAAAGCCCTCCTGGTCTCCTTTAATGTAATGACATTAAACCTACACCTCAGCAGTGGGGTCTGATCCCTGCTGTGCTGCAAATCCCAGAGTCATGCTGTTCATTTCTGCAGAGCAAACACGATCCGTGCATTGCGAGATCCGTGCGAACCAGTTTAAATCCAACTCCGTGTTTCCAACTGGCATCGAAATGTGGCACTGGGTGAATTTCCAGGGTTTTTTTGAACAGCTTTTCCCCAAAGGGATTGGAGAGGTCTCGCTGCTATCAGCGCTCTGTTTCGGCACATGGTGCAGGCAGCGCTCGGGGACGCCGCAGTCCCTGCCTGCCCCGCTGTCACTGCGGGCACAGCCCCGTACGTGGTACCCACGATACATTTTTTGGCAAACATTTCAGCAAGGTTTTCTAGTGGAGTACACCGGTTTGCAAAATTGAAGAGCGTTTCCCAGGGATGACCAAATCTTTCTAGGAATTATCGAAGCACTTCCAACCTTTTTTATTATTATTTTGCCTATCAATGCAAAAATGATAAAGCTCAAATGAAAGAGCTGGTTGTTATCCAGGGAAAATGTTTCAGTAAGGTTGAATTACCTGAAGGGATTTTGGTTTCTGGATTAGAAAAGGGGCTGCGATTTTGACTTTCCATCCTGACTTTGGAATTTTTGGAAACAATTGAAAATCTTAAGTTTTCTCAAGGGTTTGAAATGTCCTATTGCAACAATTTCTGCCCAACAATTTTCTCAAGGGGAATCCACTGATGATGGACAAGAGAGTGCCAGGCGTACTCTGCAAATCCACCACCGAGGGAGCGACCTGCACCTCTGTGGCTTGGGATGTTTCTTGCCCCAAATGATTTCCACGGCGAGGGACGTCTTCCCTGCTCATAACCTCACCCGCACGGGCTGAGCGGGAGCAGAGCGGTGAACACGGTGACACACCGTTGCTCTAGGAATGATGAAATCAGCTGTTCCACAATGTGCTGAAATACAGACACGGGGAGGAAAATTGGTTGCTTTTGTCCTTTATGTTACGACCTTTGTTCTGTAAGTAGATGCTGCGCTGGGTTTTATTCCGACTTCTGTTTTCACAAAGCAAAGTCCCGCTGAAAGCCGTGGAGAACGCGACGTGGCCCAGATAACGCGGCGGGAATGACGTCCCGCGGCTCGGTAGCGCTCGGCCAGCTTGTGCGGGGGAGAGGGCGAGCAATAGCAGTGTCGTTTTCAGTTCATTTTTGTTTCTTTTTTTGAGATAAGGGCAACATCCCCCTCGCAGCAGGGACAGCTGTTTTGCTACAGCCTGTGTCTGGATCGAAAGCGCTGTGGCTCTCGGCAGGAAGGATTTATCTTAGAGGAGGATGGAAGCAGCACTTTATTTTAGGCAGTGTCTTTTCTAGCCAAAGTTCCTTGACGCGTTTCACCAGATGATACCTTAGACCCAGTCCTAAAACCCAAATTACTTTTACCATCCCGGAGCAGCCGGTGGAGGTGGATGGCTCCATCCTTGCACACGCGATTCCCCATGCCAGGAGCAGAGCTGCACAGCACGGAGCAGCACGGGCGGCAGATGCAGCAGCCGTCCGGGCTCAGCAGCTCCCACACCGTCCTGAGCTGAAGGACTAACCTGGAGTTGAGTTTTGCTGGCTTGGCTCAGGGGGGATTTTTTTCATCCTGTCCTTTTTTACAGTTTGCAATGCTTAGTGGGTTGGGTGACACTTTCAGAGGAGGTGGGGATGGGACTGAGCACAGCCCAGGGTCAGTCTAACAGGAGCCCAGAGCCGTGCAGCATTCATGATGGGTGCCTTGGCTCCCTCCTGCCCATCAGTTCCTGCTGCTCCCTTGTCCTCCAAAGTGCAGCTTTGCCCAGAGCCATGGTGACACAGGGAAATTTCAGAGGATGCCGCTGCCTTTGGCTCCATGCCTCGGTTGTGCCCACTTTCAGGAGCTGAGCTCCAGTATCTCAGCATGCTTTGCTGCAAACTCTTTCCTACCAGCACCAGATCCCCTCCGTGCTGCTGGCAAGGAAGACAGAGAAGCGTTGACTAATTCTGGGGCTTCAGAGGCTTTTTCTTTTTTCCTGTGAAATCCTGTGGTTTCATTTCCACCTTTGCAAAGGAGAGGAAGCAAAGTCTCTGATGGCTTTGGGCTCCCTCGGAAGGACCTGCCCTGCTCGCTCTGAATGCTTCAGGGTCTCCAGCAGTGCTCACACATGGTTGATTCCGTAGGCATCAACTCACCGTTCCTTGGGCTTATCAGCAGCACTTGGCTGTCAAGCTCAGTCCTGAAGAGTTTTTGTTTGAGTGTATGCTGCATTTGTATAAATAAACACTGGAGCACAATGTTGAAGTCAACAACTTCCTAGACAAGGTCAGAATGGTACAAAGGCAGCTGGGTGGAGGCAGGCAGAAATGCATTTTCTTTTAAGGGATCTGCTGGGAAATTAGCAATAACGTATTGTACCCTCGTCCTTCAGTGAGCAACAGTAGCCTTGACTGCCTCTTTCTTGCTAAGCTGGCAATTGTGGTGCCGAGCCAGGTTCTCGTGGGGTTTCTGGGGTTTAGATCATAATATTTGGTGGTGGAGGACGGTTTCTCCTCTCCGTGGCTGCAGAAGGAGGAGGCAGAAAGCACATGCCGCTGCCCCAGCAGAAAGCCTGTGAGCAGGTTGCGACACAGTGCTGGAGGGTGGGCAGAGCTCTGGCAAGGCTGGCATTGCCCTTGGGCCACCAGAGCCACAGGTCTCGTTGCCACCTCATCTGCAAGCCAGGGACAAAGCGTTATATGAAATAGGGACAGTGTGTCCCTCCCTCCCAGGGGCCTGCGGTGGCCCAGAAATCTCGGGGCTTTCCAAAGAGCTTTGCGTTGGCCTTCCTCAATCCACAGGCGATGACAGATCTCACCAACCCATGCTGGGCACAGTCACCCCAGGGCCGAGTGCCTCCAAATTCTCCTCCGCACCCACAGCAGGAGCTGGACCTCAGAGCCCTTGCACCCATGGGTGTTCATCACCTCCCGCTGCACCCATTGAGGCTGAGGTCCCTCCTGGTTGCAGAGATGAATGGCACAGCCCTGGAAGCTGAAAGGCTTTAAGGAAGCTCCGTAGCTGCTCCAGGATCTTGCTGTGACACCATGTCCCATATTAGGGACAAGGATCGCGGTCCCCTCCTCTGTGCCAGGCTTGTCAGCTCACACCTCGGTGTATTTTTATTTTTGCCTGGTTATTTCTTGAAAGCTAAATCATTTCCAAAGCAATACCGTTATTTGCAAATAGTTGCTGAGTCCCCTTTGCTGAGCAACGAGTGAATCAGAGCTTGGGCACGTCACTTGTGTGTCTTGAAACTCAGAGCTGATCTTTATTTGACTGCTAACCTTGTAAAAACATTTCATTTCTATTCCTACTCTTCCCACCTCATTCGTCATATTGCTCAGTTGTGATATCTAGCAATAATGGAAGAATAAGCAGACCGGGCGTTCTTTGTTGCCTGCATCACCTATCGTCTGCCTTTGAGAGGAACCAAGGTGATTTTTCTCAAGGCTGAAGAACATATTCAAACACCTGAATGTGGGGAGCCTGTGACATTACTTATGTCATGGGTATCTTATACTAAGAGAAGTCTTCTTTTAAAATAGTTTCAATACCTAGTGTTAAGAGACTTTCCAAGGAAATGCCTATTGAGCTGACAAGTCTGTATATAGAGACTTGTGAATTTTCCAGTGGCTTGGAGTACAGTTGTCAGAAATGAGTTTGCTGCTTCTGCCAGAATATTTTCCTTCTCTGTTTAGAAGTATTAATGTTTCAGAGCCAGCAATCACTGCACTCGCAAAATATGTCATTAATTAATGTTTGCACGGTGTTTCCGCAGCCTGTAAGAGAACAGATTATCTGTGAGACATGCGAAGAGCAACCGCCCTGGTCCCATCATGGGCCAGTTCAGTTTGGTTCTGCCCAGTTCAGCCAATTGATTCCAGTTGTCTTAAAACAAGAGGTGAATTGGGATGTTGCTAACTCTAGTGGCAGTTCTGAGTGCAGAAAAACAGAAGAAGAGTTCGCTTAAAGTGTGAGGAGTTTTCTTCATACACTCGAGACTTGGCTGGCATTTTCCATCTCTTTCTCCATCTGAGTGGACCTCCTGGAGGAAAGTTCTCTGTGCTCTGAGTCCTGATCACCTCCAGCAGATTTGTTGGAAGTTTGTGAAATGAGTTGCGAGGATATTTGCCAGGTTTATCAAGCTCAATAAAAAAAAGCACTTGCAAATTAGAGTGATCTCATTTGAATGCAATTTCTTTGATCTGAATTCGGCTAATCGTGTGCGTTTCACATTTTCCAGGAAATTGATGTAATTGGAGATTTTATTTTTATATGAAAGGAAACTTCTCAATTAATCATTCCTATGTGTGCATTCATGTGTATGTTTGCCTGTTTTTAAGTCTTCATCTAGACGTGCTGGCCTATGTTGCACTAACTGCCACACAACCAATACCACCCTCTGGAGAAGGAACGCCGAAGGGGAGCCCGTCTGCAACGCCTGCGGCTTGTACATGAAGCTCCATGGGGTGAGGAGTGCGTCCGCACTGGGAGGCACCCTTTGGGGTCACCACCCATCAGGTCCAGGATATCAGATCTGGAGGGACCAGCCTCTAGACTGGACCCATGAGAGCCATAATCCAGTCCTGTCTCCTTGAACAGCTAAAAGCTCAGTCTACTGAGGTTCTCCAGAATAAGGCTAAGGGGGTACTGGAACACTCTCAGGAGGGACCTGCATAGAGGAGCGATTTCTGGCACTGGGTGGCTCTTCATTAGTTTGTTTGCCAAGTTAGTCCCCAAAATGAAAGCTTAACAGGCTCCAGTAGCTGGAGACTGAAGCTCTCCAAACTCAAATTGGAGATAAGAAGCATATTTCTTCTAGATGTGGTAATTAAAAATGTGTGGAGGATGCTGAGGAGTCCACATGGAGGCTGGCTGATAATGTTTATCCACAGAGGATGGGAACTGTTGGTAACATGTCCATCAGCCAAAGAGGAGACTTCATCCCTCCATACAGGGCTCTTCAAACTTCTGCCATAAAGTTTAAAGTCTCTTTATCCCATGACCGTTCCCTCCGAGCCATGTAGGCTCACAGTCTGTCAGTGTAATTTAATAGGGCCCTGTCATAAAGGTCACTAATAAATCAGGAAAAGGAAAATAGGAAATAAAGGAAAAAACAAAATTTGTGGGAAAGCCTTAGCTGTTAGCCTTATACATCTTCCTGCCAAGGCCTGTTGCAGAGAAAAATAGCACTTAGTGAAGGACAAGGACTTAAGGTGCTTTGCATGAGCTACAGTGCGTAAATGGGAGAGCAACACGTGTGTGGGAAGGAGCTGAGTAAAATACAATATTAATGATTCCAAACTTTATGAATGTCAAGGTACCACGACCTCTGGCCATGAAAAAGGAAAGCATCCAGACGAGGAAAAGGAAGCCTAAAAACATTACCAAAGGCAAAACCTCAACAGGTACAGTGCTGCTGTCATCCATCATGGGGCTTGGAGCACAATTCACCTCAACATGTCTTCTGCAGGAAATTATGATAATTAGAAAATAATATTGTGATTATTTTTTTTTTCCTGATGATTACTTTAGATGTAGGGTCTGTATTTATGCATAGACCTCACATGGAAGGAGGATGCTGGGTGGGAAATCTCGGTGCTGCCATATTCCTGTGAGGTTCCTCTGAGCTGTGGGCACCTGGCTTCATCCCAGCAGCACTTGTGTTCAAGCAGATCTGGGCTAAATTGAGTAACTGAAAAAAATAGGGCTGAGAACGATGTGTTAAAGAGTCAGGGAGAAGGTATCATGACACACTCAACATTAGCCCATCCGGGCTGTGCCAGGACCGGCGCTGCCAGGCTGTGAAAGGGTGCTCCTCCTCCTCCATCAGCATCTTGGCAGCCAAATACAACGCCTTACCCTGGCAGAGATGCGATGGAGAAAGACAGCAGTACAGCCATGCTGTGAGATGTGATGGTAGCCATTAAAATACAAATTTCCTTACAAGCAGATCTGCACCTATGTTGCTCCAGTGTCCTGTACCGATTGTCTTCCAGGGTCTACGACTTCGGCCACCAACTCCCCTTCTTCCATTACGAACTCAGACAGCACGGTCACTTTAAAGTCAGAGCCCAGCGCGACCTCGCAGTATCCCGGACAAACCATCGTGTCGGTGTCCCAGGTAAGGCCCAGGGGGGATGCTCCACACTCCTCGGGAGTCGCTGACCTGAGCGGGCCTTGATAAGGCTGAGCAATTAGTTCATCACATCGGGGCCACCAGCCCGATGGACTGCCTCAGACTGAGGAAAGCAGGGAGCGTGAACTGAGACGTTGCAGATCAGGCAGGGCTGCAGCCTCTTGGTTCCTCATCGCCTCTTCCATCTTGCAGTGGAGAACTGGGAGGTCTGAGCCCTGCTGCCGTGGAGGCAATCGGTGGTGAATGGGCTTCGCAGAGCTGGATTTAATTCCCATCTCCTGCCATGAAATCCTGGGAGTTACAACCCTGCTGAGTTGGTGGGATCAGCCCAGGGTGGAAACCTCTGTAGCTCTCAAGAAAAGTCTCCCTGGACAAATGTTATCTGCGCTTTATAGCTGTGATGCTGTCGGAGACCCTGGGCTGCCAGGCTGCGCTTCTGCCCAGAGGAGTTCTTTGGGGCGAGTCACTATTTTGTCTTGGTGGAGGAAAAAAATGGCTCTAAATCAACCCCTACATCAAAATTCTATGACCCAGCACTATCTTTATCTTGAGTCTAAGCCCCCCCTAACACGCGTGTATGGAGGGGAAGCTCAGCTCCAGCGCCCAGCATGGCGCCAGCTGCTGCACCCTATGGGAGAGGGGGTTATTTGGCTGAAGCTGAGAAATCTGATTTGTGCTGTACTCTTAAAAAAGACACACACGCCTAGAGATCTCCAAACTGGACATGGTTAGTCAATAAATAAATGCAGATGGGTCCCAGGATGCCTCCTCCCAGCGTGTTCCTTGTGCTTGCTGGGGATGGAGCACCCTCCTGCCTGGCTCCAGGCTCTCTGAAGGGCAGCATCAGCATCAGGGATAACCCACCAGGTCCATAACCCATCCAAGTCCTACTACCATGTTACATCAAGGGAGATGGTGACCCTTTGGCTAATAACAGGCTTTCTAATGACTTTCTGCTTCCCTCCACGGGGCAGGCGCAGAGCCAGTCGGACGAGGCGCTGGCCGGCGGCCACGGCGAGTTCAAATTTGAGCCCGAGGACTACAGCTTCTCCCCCAGCACCATGGCCTCGCAGCCCGGGCTGAGCGTGCCGCTCCGGCAGGACTCCTGGTGTGCCCTGGCACTCGCCTAGAAACCCCCAAGCTCCAGCAAAAAGCCTCGGGACCAACGTTTTCGGCGGGCCCTGCAAACGGGCAGGAGGACGGGCTGCCCCAGCGCTTCGGGACTGTGGGGTGTCGAGCTGTGGCCAGAGGACACGTTTCTCTTGGAGGATGCGCATGGAAAAACGCTGGCTGGATGGGGCCGGGATGGACCCACTGTGGCACCGGCTCCCGAAAAAGCTCATCCTCAGCCAGAGCGACCCAGAGTTGCCTCCCTGAGACTGGAGCCCCAGAGTCGTCTCCATTTTCCTGGGGAAAGCCTTCCTCCTTCGAGATGAAACCAACAAATAAATGCATCCCAGAATCTATGTTTATTCGCAGTGATTTCTCCCTCCTATGACTCCTCTGTGTGCAATTATTCCACTTTCCAATAAAGACTGTGATAACATGGCACCAAATAACTTAATTTTATTAAAATGTAAACTGTGTGGCCTCCCTTATGTTTTATTGGCCACAATAGGAAGAAAAGAGAAAAAAAAAAAGCAACGGTTGTTTTAAACATTTACTATTTTATATTAAAAACAATCATCTCTATAGAGTGTTAGCTTCTGAAGCGTTAGCGTATCAACACTGAGCTGATGAGTCATACATGAAATAAACACGCTGCTCTTCCCGTTCCAGCTCCAAAGACTTTTTTTTTATTATTATTTTAGGCAAACCACATGACAAAAATGGTCAAAACCTCCCAATAATAAAAGAATACCGAAATGCTGTTTTCCTTTTGTATTTCCTGAATGTTTTTGATATTGCCAACTCTGAGCATTAGAAAACCAGAAGTTAGGCCTCCAAAAGTTAAGAGAAAAGTTTGAGGGACTGAGAAATAAAGGATGTGTTGGAGGTATACTTGTTTGCACCCAGTTTTGGGCATGTTTTGAATGGAGGATTTCCAGCTTTCAACCACGGAGGGCAGAGATTCCTTTTTAATTATTTTAATGAAAGCCAAGTAGAAAATAATTTCTTGGAGCTGAGCTGTAGCAAAAGATCATCAGTGATGCAAAATCCACATCACACTTCCAAAAGCTGGCAATGGGATGTTTCTACAGCTTCTCAAGAGTTGCCTCAGGGAGGTGAGCGATGGGAGATATGTGCTAGTCGGGGCATGCAAGGGTGTCCTGAAGCTCCAGAGGAACATGGGGGTGAGGAGAAGACCATCCTGAGGAGGGGAGGTGGGTGGGAAATGAAGGGGGAGCAAGGTCATGAAGTTATTTCTATGGCCTGCTCTATTTGTTATTCCTAAATAAAATCCCCAGCCTGGCTGGATGGCTATTTATGGCCAGGAAGCCGTCAAGTAATAGTTCCTTAATATAGAAGTTGACCTGTCCAGGGCTTCCTGGAGCAACTCTTCCTCTTGTCAGAAGAGATGGATTGCTTGATTTTTATTATAAACAACGGGCTAAAGATGATGAGGGAGAGTGAAATCGGGCATCGAGCTGCAACTCGGATGAGATGGAGGATGGACTGTACAACCCTTGCTGGAAGAAAGGAGATGCTCCAGACACTGGAAGAATCAGTCCCCTCCAGTGCTGCCGTAGCTCAGCAGCTGGTCCCTCAACATAGCCCTGTGCGTGCATAAGGGGTTTCAAGCTACCCTTTTATCAAAGCCCATGGATGAGAATTGTCTTTGGAGGAGTTTTTCTTGTTCCTCCAGAGCTTTATTAGCAGCTTGCATCATGCCAAGCTGCAGTTCTGGGGCAGGGGCTGTCCCGGAGGGGCATCCCTCCAGCGCTGGGCTCGGCAGCGGCACAGTGCGTTTGCACGGCCGGGCTCTCACCGTGGATCCACATCTCCACCATTTGTTCTTCCACTCTCCGGCCTGCCAACATCCGCAGCAGCGCCAGGCACAGCCGTGCAGTGGGTGAGCAGCAGCACGGGGCTGGTGGGCTGACACTGTCCCCAAATCCAGCCCAAACTGTGCCTCTGGGAGTCAGGACAACAGGCGATGTGGCCCGGGCTTAGGTGACCTGCAAGCACCTGGGGTGACGAGTCGGGGCACAGGCAGGAGGAAGGGAGCAGGAGCCCTGGGTGCAGCACAAGTAATGCTCCCGAGCAGCTCCCCAAACCCTAAGTTTTGCAGGCAAAAAAAAGGCAATGGCAAGATGATTTCTATGGATGATGGCAGAGGGTCCTCGCATTCTCGTCTGTGTGACCCTGAGGGGGAGAGTTATTTTAAAGGCAAACAAGAAGACCCAAACAATGCCAAGATGTTGACACCAGTGGCTCCAGCGGTTTTATTTATTGCCTGTTGGTAACTGTCGACCGGGCGTCGGGATGCTCGGGGGGCTGGTGGCTGACGAAATGAGGCAGAGTGACAAGAAGTGAACAACCGGGACGTGTGTAATTTTTCCTTCCTGCTTGTTCCCTGCACTCACTGGACAGCATTGTCCCATGAGGCTGGTTTTTCATTTCTCAGGGATGTCTTCCAACCTCTTGCTCCCATCCCTGAGGCAGGAGCCATCCCTGCAGACTTCTGTCTCCTGGTCATCCCTAACGGGAGAGGCAGTACTCTTGGCACAGCCCCAAAAGAGAGAGAACGCTTCATTTCCTCCTGGTCCTTGGATCCCCAGAAGAAGCAGCACCCTGAGAAGCTCACCCTGTGCAGGTCTCAGCCTTGCAACAGCCACATCCAGGAGGACCCAGGCACCTTCCAGCCATTATCTTGTCAACCTGCCATTTGAAGACCTTTAGGGAGTCCACATCCCTTTGCACCCCTCATTACATGGCAAAGAGGAGTATTTTGGAGGAGTATATTTGGAGAGGGATTTTTTGCAAGGGCATGTAGTGATAGGACAAGGGACAATGGCTTTAAACTGAAAGAGGGGAGATTTAGATTAGATCTAAGGAAGACATTCTTCACTCTGAGGATGGTGAAACACTGGAACAGGTTGCCCAGAGAAGTTGTGGCTGCCCCATCCCTGGAAGTGTTCAAGGCCAGGTTGGATGAGGCTTTGAGCAACCTGATCTAGGGGAAGATGTCCCTGCCCATGGCAGGGGGGTTGGAATTAGAGTATCTTTAATGTCCATTCCAACCCAAACCATTCTATGATTTGCCCCAATATGTGTGAACAAAAAACTTGGGAAAGTTTGGGTCTTCCCAGCTCATGCTACATCTTCAATCCTGCCCCTACAGCCTCCGGGCGCCTGGTTGTACAGCCCAGCTCAGCCTGTGTGTTTGCAGGGGTTTGAATGGTTGGGGTGGCAGCAACAGAGAAGACTGGACTCAAAACCAAGGTCTCAGAGAACCAGACCACCAAGCTGATCTGCAGGTCAGGCTTCCCATATGGCATCCACTGTCCTGCTCTGCCTGACTCCAGCCAGCCTTTGGCCAGCCCCTGCCCACGCTGTGCTCACAGCATCACTGCCACCTTCTGTGACCAGGCTCACCTCTCCCTGCCCCATCCCCAAACAAGGCTGATTCATAAACACACTTCAGAGATCAACTTTTACTTCTCTTTCTCAAACCTTTCTCAGCCCCCTTGGTGCTGTCTCCCTTTCCCAGGCATGGCGTGTATTTGCTCTCCTACAGGTCTGGTGGCTTGTGAAGAACTATTGTCTTTACTGTTGTACAGCTTCCTCAAAGCTATCAATTGCTTTTGCTCAAAGGTCACCTGCTCAGATGATTTTACAACATGACTATGATGATCTGCTTCATTTTGCACTTTATACTAATGCCACAGTGATTTTTACCAAGTCAGCGAGTGAGTAATGAAGCACTTGAGCCTGTAAACACATGTTGTTCTTGTTTATGATCATATTAATAGCACAATAAAATCACTGCTCACCAAAGCAGCTGCTTTCAAAAAAAAAAAAAAAAATTGTTTCTTTTTGATTTCTGCATGGGAAATGGAAAGTTGTGGTTTAATTTGTGCTGGGAGCCCTGAAGCCCCAGACTCTCTAATGGGGTGTCACTTTTATGTTGGAGCACAGAGAACCATCATTTTTTTTGCTTTGCACACAGAAGTCTTCAGCACAACTTGTGTGGCAGCTCAGCCACTGACCAGGCTCTGCCTGAGCTGCAGATACCACCCAGCTGGCAGATAGGTTTGACTCTTCCTCTGCACAAGCTTTGGGGACACACAACCCCCAGGTGAAGCTGTGCACCTAAGTCACTGCTGAGGCTGATTTCCACCAGCTGAGGATCATGCTCATCATGCTTATAAGAGGATGGGAGCACCAAGTTTCTTTTTCTTAAGTGTTGTGTGGATCCAAGAGGTTTTTTCCTGGAAAGAAGGTGGAAATAAGGCTGTGAGCCAGGTACAGCAGTGCCCTGGGGGCTGAAGGGGGTGTGGGGGCTCTGTTGGTGGTTTTTAATTGCTCTGGAAGTGAAAATTGACTTTTACTTCCCAATCCTTGCCCACTGCTTCCCTGCTCCTCTCCAGTGCTTTTTATTGCTGAGTTGGTTGCGTACCAGGCAGGAAAACAACTCGTGTTGTTTTCCAGGTCAATGTGTTGCAGTAAATAAATGTCCAGGCTATTTACTTGTGCAGCAGCTAAACCAGAATGAAATATTCAATCTCACCATTGTATGCATAGAAGAGGAAAACAAATAGCACTGCTCCTTTCATCACGTCAGGTGGTCCTTCTTGGAGAAAGCTTTGTGGCCAGGGGTTGGTAGAAGGTGGTGTCTCCAAAAACCTCTCTTCTTCAGCATCAAATTTGCATTGAATAGCCTAAAGGACACTTAATGAGGAGCAATAACACCTTTTGCAAAGTGTTTTTATTTCAAAGAAACTCCTCCTCAAGGGGAAGCTTGACGAGAAGCAGCACATTCCGAAATGGCTTTAGCTAAAGGGAGTTTATCCCCATCCTGTTGTCTTCTCTGAAAACCCCAGATTCCATGTTTCAGTAAAATTTCTACCCAAGAGTACCGTGACAGATAACACGTCATGAATACAGCGGGTGTTGAAAGGAAAAGGGGAGCAGTGTTGGACTGTCTTTATGGCCAACCTTGGCAAAAAGCAGCTTCATCTACAGGGTTCTAATGCCACTGGGA